GGAGAATGGCGTGAACCCGGGAGGCGGAGCTTGCAGTGAGCTGAGATCCGGCCACTGCACTCCAGCCTGGGTGACAGAGCCAGACTCCGTCTCAAAAAAAAAAAAAGAGAGAGTTTGCAGTGTTCTTATAGATAAGGAAGGGGCTATCAACAATGGGTCTGAAGCAGGAAAGTGACTTGGTCAGTTGTGGACTTTAGACAGCTTACTGAACTGGATGCGGCAGTGGATGGATTTAGGTAGGTTAAAATTGGTGTTGCAGAGAACTTTTAAAGTAACAGTAGTCCAGGTGAAAGATTATTGTAATCTGAACCATGGCAGTGGAGGTGTAAAGGTAGGACAGATTTAAGAAATATCTAGAAGTAGCATTAACAGGAATTTAGAATTGATTGTGTGATTGGAGATTGTGACCACAGAGTGGACAGTATTGGATGGTGCTGTCTGGTGGAGCAGTAAGTATGAGTGACTTGAGTGGAGTGAAAGTTGTTGAATTTGAGAATTGATTAATGACTGTGTCATTGTTATTAACCATAGCCCATAATGATGGAGGAACTTTGTGAATCAAGTGCCAAACTATATAATGAATGTGGGGCTGTGATTGGTCATTGATAGGGGATTGGTAAATGACATCCATGAGGAAAGCTTAGAAGTTGGTATTGCCAAAGGCCAGGTACAGTGGCTCACGCCTGTAATCCCAGCACTTTGGGAGGCCAAGGCAGGCGGATGACCTGAGGTCAGGAGTTCAAGACCAGCCTGGCCATCATGGTAAAACCCCGTGTCTACTAAAAATACAAAAATTCGCAAGACATAGTGGCGCTTGCCTGTAATCCCAGCTATTTGGGAGGCTGAGGCACGAGAATCGCTTGAACCTGGGAGGCAGAGGTTGCAGTGAGCCGAGATTGTGCCACTGCACTCCAGCCTGGGTGACACAGTGAGACTGCATCTCAAAAAAAAAAAAAAAAGTTGGTATTGCCAAATAGTATGACGATCAAGGGAGTACAAATGGCACAGAATTACAAGAATGCTTATTGTAGAAACGTAATAAATGTTATTTTAAATCCATGAGTTTTGGTAAATATTGATAAACTTTCTGAGCAGTTATCGTTTCTGGATGTGGTTGGACTGTAGGAAAAATGTGGAGGGATGATTCTGGGCTGCAAAGGCCAAGGATGCTTGTATCTTTGAAATCTGTTTCACAACCATTTATGTAAGGGTTACCAAGTGATTCTGCATGTATTTTCTCATTGGATTCTTAACAACTCTGAGGTATAGATTCATTCATCCCTGTTTACAGATGACAGCACTGAGAATTTGGAGTTAAGTGACTTGCTTACGGTCACACAGCTACACAGCTTTTCAGTGAGAACAGTCAGAATTTAAACTAGTTCTTTTTTTTTTTTTCAAGATGGGGGTCTCACTCTGTCACCCAGGCTACAGTGCAGGATTATAGCTCACTGCAGCCTTGAACTCCTGGCCTCAAGTGATCCTCCTGCCTCAGCCTCCTGAGTAGCTGGGACTACAGGCGTGTACCACCAAGCCCAGCTAATTTTTTCTTTTTTGTAGGAACTGGGGTCTCCATATGTTGCCCAGGCTGATCTTGAACTCCTGGCCTCAAGCCTTCCTCCCACTTCAGCCTCCTGTGCAGCTGGGACTACAGGCGTGTACCACCAAGCCCAGCTAATTTTTTCTTTGTAGAAACAGGGGTCTCCATATGTTGCCCAGGCTGGTCTTGAATGTTTGGGCTCAAGTGATCCTCCTGCCTTGGCCTCCCAAAATGCTGGGATTACAGGTGTGAGCCCCTGTGCCCAGCCAGTGTTTATTTGTAAACAAACACTTTAAAAAATGTAATAAACATGTATAAAGCACTATACTGTGCCAGGCATTATTAGCGACTGGGAATATGGGAATGCCTAAGACTAGTTCCTGCCCTTGAGTATCTCATCGGTTCTTTCCCTGCCCTTTCAGTACAGTGTGGATTGCAGCTGCTGAGCAGGGATTCTGGAAAGCATTGCGTACCTGAGCCCCCAGCATGGCGGGCCTAAAGCGGCGGGCAAGCCAGGTGTGGCCAGAAGAGCATGGTGAGCAGGAACATGGGCTGTACAGCCTGCACCGCATGTTTGACATCGTGGGCACTCATCTGACACACAGAGATGTGCGCGTGCTTTCTTTCCTCTTTGTTGATGTCATTGATGACCACGAGCGTGGACTCATCCGAAATGGACGTGACTTCTTATTGGCACTGGAGCGCCAGGGCCGCTGTGATGAAAGTAACTTTCGCCAGGTGCTGCAGCTGCTGCGCATCATCACTCGCCACGACCTGCTGCCCTATGTCACCCTCAAGAGAAGACGGGCTGGTGAGGATGTATTAGGGGCTAGAATCAGGGAAGAGTTGTGGGAGGCCAGGAAGGAGCAGCATAGGCATCCAAAGGGGAAGACACATTGACCCTGGGGAGTACTTAGAGTAAGTTGTGAGGCCCATTGGGGGTTTGGACTGACAGAAGGGAAGGGTATATATTTTCCTGAATGATTACTTCTCCTCCTACAGTGTGCCCTGATCTTGTAGACAAATATCTGGAGGAGACATCAATTCGCTATGTGACCCCCAGAACCCTCAGTGATCCAGAACCAAGGCCTCCCCAGCCCCCTAAAACAGGTGAGAAGACATTAACTCCCCCTACTTTCCATCATCAAGTAAAAGGACACTGATCCCATCACATTCTGGGCTTTGCCAGCTTAAATGAAAGGATGCTGTGTCCCACATCTTGCCCCATAAAAAAAAAAAAAAATCAGGTGAGGTGTTGACGTTTCTCCTAGGTCCTGTATGTGCTCTCACATTATGTCTTTTCAAGTCACATTATTTCCACTGCTTTTAGTGCTAAGTCTAAATGATTCCTTCCTCATTCCAAGAGAAGTGTTTGAATTTCTGCCTTTACCCTACTGTGTTTTCTTCCCTTTTACTTTCTGGTCAGTGCCTCCCCACTATCCTGTGGTGTGCTGCCCCACTTCGGGTCCTCAGATGTGTAGCAAGCGGCCAGCCCGAGGGAGAGCCACACTTGGGAGCCAGCGAAAACGCCGGAAGTCAGTGACACCAGATCCCAAGGAAAAGCAGACATGTGGTGAGGAAGTTCAAGGGTTCCAGAGGTGGAGCAGACTTGAAGCAGAATATAAAGAACTGCTGGGACACTAGGCAGTTTATGCTATTCAGTGTGAGATTCACTTTGATTGCCATTGCAAAGTGAGGCTGAATGGTTTGGTGTCTGGTGGAAGAACTGCTCTTTGTGACTGTGGCAGGGTACATTTCAACTCTTCTTAGTTAATACTACATCACAGGGATGTTGTTATGACATCCTTATTGTAGGATGAACCAAGTCAAGATAGAGTATTAAAATGAACTTCTGTGCCTGGTAATTAGGAAACTATCTCCTATAAGCAAGTTGCTACCTGTGGGTAATGGGAACAGTGCTGACCTGGGCATGTCCAGTTTAAGGGAACCTCCTGCATTCAGGCAAGCGTTTCAGAGATACATAGAAATAGTCCTGGGGAAGAGGTAGAGAAGCTGTCAGGTGATATTCCCTACTTTTTTATTCTGCTGTGCTTTTCAGTTTTCAAGCTTGGGTTGTAAACTCATCCCTCACTGTAACCTCTTCTGCTCTCTATCTTCTGTTTCCAACAGACATCAGACTGCGGGTTCGGGCTGAGTACTGCCAGCATGAGACTGCTCTGCAGGGCAACGTCTTCTCTAACAAGCAGGACCCACTTGAGCGCCAGTTTGAGCGCTTTAACCAGGCTAACACCATCCTCAAGTCCCGGGACCTGGGCTCCATCATCTGTGACATCAAGTTCTCTGAGCTCACCTACCTCGACGCATTCTGGCGCGACTACATCAATGGCTCTTTATTAGAGGCACTTAAAGGTGTCTTCATCACAGACTCCCTCAAGCAAGCTGTGGGCCATGAAGCCATCAAGCTGCTGGTAAATGTAGACGAGGAGGACTATGAGCTGGGCCGACAGAAACTCCTGAGGAACTTGATGCTGCAAGCATTACCCTGACCTTTTCCCTCTTCTCACTTTGGGGACTGTTCCCATCACCCATCTCTGGAGCTTACACTGTTCTGGGGTTTGTTCTCTACCCTTCCAACCAATCACACCCCTGCCTTTTTTTTTTTTTTTTTAAAGAAAAAGACGAAAGTGGAAGTGGTGTTCCCCTCCCCTCCCTGCACCCATGTGCCTGGGCTTCCCCTTTGTTTCCCTTTTCCATTTACCCCCTAATGTGTGTCTCTACAGCTACCTTACCACTGAGCCGTAAGACAAATGTATAGGGAGAAGCGAAGTCTACAGCACATAGTCTTTGTAAGGGATTGATGTGAACACTGCTTTTGGGTGCACTAAGGAGTTATCAATACTTCTGGCTTTATGAGAGCTCTTAAATGTTGTCTAAAAAAACCAAAGGGCTGTGAGTAAGGGAGCTGTGTGGAAGGTGGGACTCTGAAGTGTATTTTGAAAATTAATCGCCACCCTCTTCCAAATTATAGAATTTTTTAAAAACAAAGAAGCTGTGACCCTTTCCACTCTCTCCTGGCCTCTGGTGCTGCTCCTCTCTGCCGCCTTTCCTCCATTCCGTGGCTTGAAACCTCTGCCTGATGTGGCTCCTTCCTTTTACCCATTTGTCAAACCCTCTTCAACGGAGGAACAGATAAGAAGACTGGGTCAGCTGAGTCACGCCTCCCAATTGTGGTGGTATATGTGTACACACATAGACAGGGTGGATGGAGAAGAGGTTGCTGATTAAAATACACTCCCCCTATAAAGGGGAAGGGGGAGTGTGACACTTTCTTTCCATGTTCAAGTGAAAATAAATCATGTACCCTGCAGCCCTTTTCCCCTTTGCTTTCTTCTGGCTTGGGCAAAGGGCATCATAGGTGAAAGTGAAGTAATTCCTTTTTCCTTCCCCCTCCTCCACTCCTACGCCCACTCCCATGCTTGGGAGAATGGGGCTGGGACATGCACTGAGTGTTGCACTTTTATTTATGTAGGGACGCATGTTGAATGAGCCAGGTCTAGAACTGGAGCTTAGTCCAGCTGGTACAATACCAACTCCCCTTCTAGTTCCCAAAGGCGATGTCCAGACATAGACTGTATGATTATTATATTTTTCAATGCCAGTGCTGCTCAGCCCTCAGCAGAACTTCAGTTTTCATGAAATAAACAATGACTATATAAAATGCCACCTTTCTGAAACTGCAATCTGACCTCAGGTGAAGCTCAGGTGAAAGTTTCTTTCCTAAGAAGCCAAGCCTGTGTTCCATCAAGAGAGTCAAGGTTCTCCAAGTGAGGGGAGCTGTGCCTGGGTCCTGCCTCCAAGTAACATGAGCACCAGCTCACAATGGCGGGGTGGGGGCTGGTGGGGGCGGGTCTGAATTCACAGAAGTCCTTAAGACAGTGGGTGACCCAGATTGCCATAGAGGTCAGGCCTGCGGTGCTGGAACACAGGCAGGTGTTGACGCAACTGTCGCAGATAGCTGAGGTCTATTCGGGCAAGGCAGAGGCCTGGCCCCTCAGAGCAGCGGGCCACCACTGTTCCCCAGGGGTCTACCACCATGCTGTGGCCATAACTTGCTCTCTTCTCGTGGTGGCGTCCACACTGTGCCGCTGCCACGACATAGCACTGGGTTTCGATAGCACGGGCCCGCAGCAACACCTGGGGATGAAATGTGTGTTCACATAAGTACATGTAGCAAATAGTGGGGAAGTGACAGTTGAGGGACATTACAGACCAATCTACCCATTGTGACTATTCTGATAATTGCCTGGGAATGATTTACTATTTTAACTATTCTGTAACATGAGAATTATCTGGGGAATGAGTTTCCCCACTAGGTGGAAAGGGGAAGGAATTTAACTGGTAGGGCCAAGCAGGGAGGATAAGGTTAAAAGGCCCTTATGTTTCAAAAACGTGTTGTCTTACCTCCCAGTGGGCTGGGCCTGTAACCGATCCAAAAGCTGAAGGATAGGTAAGTATCTCTGCTCCAGCTTGAGCCAATGCCAGAGAGAGTTCAGGGAACCGCATGTCATAGCAGACAGCTAGACCAACCTGGAATGAAAAACAGCCTACTTAGTAGTCTTCCTGCTCTGTTTGTCACAGCAACTAGTCATACTTCCATTACCCCCTTTCTTAGGGCTTTCTATCCTCTACCGCTAGTTCAGAGTATTCCTGTTCCCCTCCCTCATTCTTTCACAACTCCCACCTTGCCTGCTGGTGTGCTGACAGGTGACTCAAGACTGGGCCCAGGCATGGTGGAATTGCTTTCACACATAGGCCCCTGCCCTGGAATCTCTACGTCACACAGATGTGTCTTCCTGTAAGTGGCCACTACTGCCCCTACAGTAAGAAAGAAGGAATATTTAGTGCTGGTGTTCTAGAAGCTTGCTTACTCCTCCCGAGGAGATAGTTTATAGGCTAGGAACTGAAGTAGGAACACCCCTAAATCCTTAGGTCAAGGAAATAAGAGTTGAGAAACAATTCTGGAGAATCTAAGTTTAGGTAGAAGAGCATGGGAAGAGGCAGGCTAAAGGGTTATAAAGTCTCACCTTTGCTGTTCAGCAGCACGTGACAATTGTAGATTTTCTGAGTCTGCTCCCAGTCTTGGCCACGCTCATGGAAACCACCCAAGGACAGCCAGAGTCCACATTCCCTGGGTGGAAGGGACACTGACAACTCTTTACTGATTTCTCAAGGCTCTACCCTCATATCTGGCAATCCAGGGACACTGTCCAACTAAGATTCTACCTCTCCCTCGCTCTTTCCCTGATACCTGGCAAGCTGGGTGTATTCTTCCAAAAGTCTCCCACCCAGTGGTTCAGACAGGCGGAGCGTCTCTGCAGGGTCGCGTGCAATGAAGTCAAATGCCTCAGGCAGGAAAGCCAGGCAGGCACCCAGTCTGGCAGCCTCTCGAACCAGCTCAGCACATGTTTTAAAGTTCTGTTGCTTGTCTGGCGTCGATGTTACCTGGCACACAGCCACCAAGGGCAGTTTGCAGGAGGAAGAGGGGAGAGCCATGGCTCTGGGCCTGTAAATAGCATAGGCAGGATTCTCAGATTTCATAACACGGGGAAACATAAATTTAATGCTAAGGGGTTCAAGTGGAGAGGTAGGAAAGCTGGACTTCCTTTTGATTATCCTCTTACAGGGCACGTTGACCCAGGGCTAGTAGGGCTCACCAATCAAATGTGTGGATAGTTGACACTCCTGTGTCTCCCACTATCCATTTAACAAACTAAGCATCTAAGTGCCAGGCACTGAGGACACAACAAAACGTGTTACCTGGGCTGAGCACAAGGTACTGAAAGTCGAGGTATCCGGAGTCCGGGACACAGAAGGGACAGGAATCTGTGAGGAGGCCTGGTGATGAAGCCCAGCCTGAAGAAGGTGAGAAATGAGAACACCAACCCCTTCCTCAAGCAATAAATTTCTAGGATTCTCTGACTTCTCTCTTTATACTGTGAGCCTGAATCAGGGCCCTGCCAGTAAAACCCTTCTAATCTTCAAAACGCTCTTTACTGTATAAGAAATTATGTACTAAGGGACAAGATCATACAGTGGGAAGATGGACGAAGGGGCTCTGCTCGCCGCCTGAATAGTTCAACTTCCAATGATCTCACATTAAACTGAAGCCCCTTTCCTTTGACAAACGTTTCCGCAGTCCAAAAGTCATCTCCGGGAACTATCCTTGGTTTTCCCAAGACTCTCTTCTTGACTGTGCACTTGCGCAGTTTTACTGACTCGAAGCTTATTTCCCCTTTCCCCAGAATCTCTCAGGGGAAAGTTCGCCCTCCCTCGTGTCCAACCCCTCCATGGTGGGCAAGGGGCAAAGGAACCCAAGCCCCAAGCCGCGACCCGCCCTCCACCCTCCCGCCGCCCGCTCCAGTTGGCCCATCCCTCCCCGCCATGGGCAGCATCTCTGTTGCACAAGTTAAAGCACCGCAGGTGGGATTCACTGCGGTCGACGGGACAGAGAGTAGGTCCTACATGAAGATATGGCCAAAACCATTAGCAGGATCGGATCCGGAGACCGGCCTGGAGCCAGAAGCGCCGCGGCGAGTGGGCGGTAACTCGCAGGCCGGACGTGACGCAAGGCGGGGGCTGAGCTGCGCCGGCCGGAAACCCAGCAGGCGGCGAAGATGGCGGAGAACAGCGGTCGCGCCGGCAAGAGCAGCGGGAGCGGCGCGGGCAAGGGGGCGGTGTCCGCAGAGCAGGTGAGGAGTGGCTAACGCGAAGGAGGGTGCCCACTTGCGTCTGGAATACTGGCTAGAAGGGGGCGCCTGTGGCTTGTGCAGCCCTTTACTCCAGTAGCACATGTGCGTGGCACCTAGAGAGGGAAGGGTCCCCGGAAAAGCTAGCCGAGCCCCTTCGGAGAGGTAGACGGGTGGGTGAGTGAGAGCCACGCCTCCCTGGGGTGTTGGGTGAGCCTCAGCAAGGGGAAAGCCCTGACATGCAAGGTCTGGGAAGATGTACAAGTCTGAGGGAAGATGGTTTGCTGCTTTCTCTCTCTCTCCTCAGCCCCTCCAAACAGGTTATGGCTGGGCAAGACAGCTCGAAACTAACCGCAGAGGATTAGTTAACAGGCTGGCTGTGTAGTCTGTTACGTGATCCTGAACCCACGTTGACAATCGCCGTCACGCTGCAGAGCCACGTGACTCTCATACTCGAACAGCCTAGTGTTCTATATACTATTTTGATTCGAGAGTTCATTACTAAATCGAATTTCTTTAGAGACCAGAAATCCCTTTCTAATCCGAGTTTGCATTTTCCCCAGTGGCTAGCATCGAGAAGCGTTTGATAAGTTAATCAGAAAACCCTTTGTTCCTTGGGTACCGTGTTTTGCTAAGTGGAAAAATAGGATTGGGAGGAAATCTACACAATAGAAATGAAAACAGGTAACAGCTGTTTTTTTATTATTATTATTTTTCGAGACGGAGTCTCGCTCTGTCGCCCAGGCTGGAGTGCATGCAGTGGCACGATCTCGCCTTACTGCAAACTACGCCTCCCGGTTCAATCTATTCTTCTGCCTCAGCCTCCCGACTAGCTGGGACTACAGGCGCGCGCCACCACACCCGGCGAATTTTTGTATTTTTAGTAGAGACGGGGTTTCACCATATTGGCCAGGCTGGTCTCGAACTCTTGACCTAGTGATCCGCCCACCTCGGCCTCCCAAAATACTGGGATTACAGACGTAAGCCACCGCTCCCGGCCTACAGCTGTCTTGATTATAGGTTAAGTTTTTGTTGAACAATTAATACAGGCAGATGTATCAGCATAAAGATTTTTATTTTTTTTTTTTGTTTTCTGAGACAGAGTCTCGCTCTGTCATCCAGGCTGGAGTACAGTTGCGGAATGTCGGCTCACCACAGCCTCCACCTCCTGGGTTCAAGCAATTCTGCCTTAGCCTCTCGAGTATCTGGGATTACAGGCCTGCACCACCACGCCCAGTTAATTTTCGTAGAGGCAGGATATCACCGTGTTGCCCATGCTGGTCTCGAAGAGCATAGTCTGGTGGGATAAATAAGGAAGCAAAATGCTCATATGAGGCGGAAGATAAGTGTCCTAAGAGAAGTATAAAGTCCTATGGAATATAGTTTCTGACTTGAGGTGGGGGAAGGGAAAAGGAACCTAATACTTTTTAATACTTTTTTGTTGTTGTTGAGACGGAGTCTCTGTTGCCCAGGCTGGAGTGCAGTGGCATGATCTCGACACACTGCAGCCTTTGCCTCCCAGGTTCAAGCGATTCTCATGCCTCAGCCTCCCGAGTAGCTGGGATTACAGGTGCACCACCACACCTGGCTAATCGTTGTATTTTTAGTAGAGACGGGGTTTCACCATGTTGGACAGACTGATCTCGAACTCCTGACCTCAAGTGATCCGCCTGCCTTGGCCTCCCAG